GTAACAATGTAAAATCACATCTACAAAATTTTTATATAGAAATGTACCTTTATAGAATTAGAAAAAAAAATACAATAAAAAGAATGAAAAATGCAAGTAAATTTCATAAAATAGATAAAATGTGAACAATGAAGAGAGGTTAATTATAAAATGGGAATAATTGTAATCATGTATCACCTTGCCATTTTGTCTACCTCATTCATCCAGATGTGTTTACAAAGCGGTAATGACACGGTGATTAATAAATAAAAGCGAAAGACATGATTGAATATTATTGTTTGGTGTATTTTTTTCATCATCTTTCGAATGTAGTCTACGTTCATCCAATGTTTATGTGAAGAGTAAGCACTCGCCACTCCTCCGTATCTGATGAGCCGTTATCGGTAAACAAACGCGCGATAGGCGATTACAATTTTGAAATGGTGAGAAATTAATAAAGGTAATTAAATAAGAACGTACCTAACAAATAATAAACTTGTAATACTGTTTCATTCATCCATTTTTTCTTTCCCCAACGAAACCAAACGATCTTCCAACGAGGCTTAACATCAACTATCACAACAGACAATCCAACATTAAGATTGATCTTCGATTATATTCTAAAGAAACATTGCATATAATTAAATGTCTTTTAATATCACTGCATTTTTTACTTCCTGATATATGTACTAGTTAACGTTCTCCACGATTCCCGACTAAAACCTTACCAATCGTAGTCAAATAAGGAGTAACCTATACTCGACGCCATCTTGAAATTACTACTTTAGTAACGGGAGTCACAAATGTACGAGCAGGGTATCCCGCCAAAATGTTTGAAGTCGGTGACGTCATCGGATAAAGCGGAGTTTAAGTCGAAATTTTGTACTATTTTATATTCTTATATTTATGATAATTATTCTCCCTTTCGTAAGGGAAACGTTTACTATATTCCCCCATCCATACGTCCGTACTGTATATATAATGACTAGTCATCGTGCTGGTCATATACAGTACTTGAGAAAATGTCCATTGTATCGAAAACATTTTCAATTAAGAAATAACAGACGAAATATTGATAATAAAATTTAATTCTCACTCCGAGAATGTCTTTCTTATAAATAATTTTATATAAAAATATTAAATTAATGACACAACAAATAAATTTTATGATTGAAATTACAAATATTCAAAATTAATTTAGTATTATTTTCATATAAAATTTGATCTATTTGTTAGACGCCATATTTATTTTTCGTCACGGTAACGTGTTACAGCGATTCGTGATGTAACTTTCTTTGAATATTCTATGATAATGTTTATGTTATTGAATAACAATTAATGAATTTGTTCGATGGATAAAAACAATAGAAAATTTTTAAATACGTCTATTTAGCATTGAGACAAAATTAAAAAATATATATATATATATATATTTTATAGATTTGTGTATGTACAGGGTGTCCATAAAATCCATGTGCAATTAAAAAAATTTATAACTTTATTAGTATTTGTGATAATTTCTCTATTACAAATACTAAAGTTATAATTTTTTTTTAAATTTCACATTGACTTTATGGACACTCTGTATATTATGTGTAGAATTTAATTGTTCTGTGCAAGATAGAATTAAAAGTCATTTTTTCGAATACATATTGCAAAATAAATGAAAAATTTAAATTATCTGAATACATTTTACATATAAATTGATACAACAGGATTTTCGAATTGATTCGATTGAATAGAGACAAAATTGTATTAGAGTGGCCACAAGATTTCAATGCACGAGATCTGTTCTGGTTCTTCTAATTAGAGCCTATTTAGATTCTAGATAATATACTCGTCGAATGATGGATTGGATGCAATTCCTTAGATCCATTCTGAGCGATCCGGGCAAGCAACTCCAGAAACTTTTCATGGATAGTAAGTTCCGGATATGTCGGACTTCGTCTCTCACTATCCGCCACCTTCATTTTTTCGAATTTTATATGCGGTTTTTTTCTCGGATGTATCAGGCCTCGTTCCTTACAACCTGGTTTTTTTTCATTGTGAATATTGCCGAACCCACAATGGGCTTGGAAAGAAATGCCGTAGGGTGAAAAAAATTTTAAAACACAGCAAAATCATTTCAGTTTAAGCAGAAGATATTTCCTTAAAAAAAAAAGAAAGAAAGAAAGAAATTAGTACCGAAGCTCATCACTAAGGCACTTGGCGTACCATACAACAAACAGTTTATTTGTATAAGCCACTTATGCTACACAAAGACCTTAGGAATGCGAAAGATACTTTAAATTGGCAATGTGAATTCGATAAACTACATGTTATAAATGCCTCATAACTAACAATCACATGAATTAAGATCAAAAGCATCAAAAATGCCTTAGTAGTGAGTTTTGCTGCTTTTTTTTACGAAAATGTCTCATGCATGTCCTGAAATATGACTATTTTAAATTTAGTTGCATCTGGACTGCTAACTATTTTTTTAGACATCGTTAAATAAGGATATTTTATTTACAATCAGCCAGTGCTTCTGATTTAATTATTTTCTCTTTCACAGGAGAAATATTTGTAAACAAAATAATAAATTTCTCAATTACGTTTTGTAGAGCCTCGTCTCCTAGTTAGAACTCATTAAATCACGTTACATAAATATTCGTTAATACTCTTTACCGACGAGGATTTGTATAGGTCTAAGGTGTTCCTTATATAAAAATTCGTATTATCGACCCATGGATTTCTCATCTGTCACCAATTCACGTTAAAAAAAAAGAAGAAGAAGAAAAACTATATAAAGCATTTTAACCTTCTGTCTACAATCATCCAATTTGAAAAGTAGACTGAAATCATGGATCATGGAGATTCTCCTTTAAACCGTACAAAGTGTTACAAATGGATTTTCATCAAAAACAAGCAATGTTAACCTTTATTAATTAATCCTTTATATAACCTACAATTTTTATATAAATTAGCATTATTTTTCACACTTTTCACACATGAAAACTGCATAATATGGACAATAAGTTTGCTTGTACAATTCGCGCATCAATTATTAAATAATTGTTGTTGTCACAAAATAGCACAATACAAAATGATCAGATTGTTATGACCTTCAAAGAAATTCGAAAATCTATGTATAGAAAAATGCAATAATCAAACATTGGTTAAAAACTGTTCTTACACTACAACCAATTTTAGTGACACCCATAACATTATAAAATTATCTGTTGCACAAAAACAATATGCCATACGCGATTGCAATGTTACAGCTAAATCACAAAAATCTCAGCTTTTTGAAGATTGGAGCTTCTTGTTATCAAGGTGTCTAAGATCCCTGATAGCAGCCAGAAGGATAATTATAGAGTTTTCAGTGTTACACTTTCGATTCCACGCACTTGAGTGCTATGTGTCAGCAAAGTAATGATATAGCGCGTCTATTTCGCTCAATATCATAACGATAATAATTAAGTGAATATAATATTTATTTTTTAGTTATATCCGTTTTTATATGAATTATATTTAGTTTATTGTTATTTAAATTTCTTTGCCAGTAGATGACGCTATATGTAAAGCCAACAAATCGGATGTAGAGAAAACGAATTAATATATAAAAATTAAATCGATATTTTGGGATGGAGTGTACGACATTATTTAAGTTAGAACATATGTTAACTTAACTGCAGCGTTTCATAAGAATTGGTCGAACGGCTTAGGAGTGCATTGCGAACAAACAAACATCCTCATGTATATATAAATTTAGATGTGCTATTATCTCACTTTGACAAATTAATCAAGCGATTCTTTCTGAATAGGATTAGACTGGCAATTTAGCCTACAGATAATTTTATAATACTGTACTGTATATGTGCAATACTTACTACATTTAAAGGAATACAATTTCAAAACAATTATTTTTCGATTAATAATTTGTTAGTATCAGTTGTTACAAAATAATGTTGAAAGCCCGAAGAACAGTCCTGAAGAAATCTAACTATTCAAGCCATTTTTAAGATTAAATTCATTCAACAGATTGCAATTTACAAGAGGCAGTGCATCAAGGTAAAATTTTACCTATAATGAGCGTGCGTAAGCCCAATGGTCTAAATAAAAACCGAATGACGTCTTAATCCAGAAATCGGCACCTGGAAAAACTATCTTCTTTATACAAATCCGAATAAAACCAGAATATTTTAGACTAACGCATGAACTAAATCGTTCATGAAACTTTCTATCTCTAGAATTTTAATTGCTTACTTTATTTCCAAAACATTACAGTTTTTAATTGAATCGAAAAGTTGAAGAAATTCGAGAAAAATCAATTAGAGGAAGCACAATTCATATATGGGACAGAGTAGGTGAAAAACGAAAAAATAAAAATAAAACAGGGTGGGCTTCAGATAAACACTAAGGTTCACTTCGGGTGTAACTCTTTTTTCAAGTTTAGTAACCTTAAACTACGAAATAGTTAACAGTAAAAATTTTTCCGGATACAGTATTATGTTTTTGAAGTAGATTTAGAAATTCTATAAAATTAAGAATTAAGAAGTAATGTTTAAGGATGAAGATGGATTAAATTCACTATTTTATTTGCGTATCGTAAAATTTTTCTGTACACGTTATTAAATGTTCAATAAGAAATTTTAGTTTATTTACGTTTAAAAGGAAAATTCTCCTTATAAAACCAGCTTACTCAAAATTTAAATATAAAGAAGAAAAAATAGACCCCCCCGGATGTCCGAGCAGTTAAAACGTCAGATTACCGCTCTGAGGACTCGAGTTGGAATACAAACGAGTCGAAAATTTCCAGGAATTTTTCGGGGTGGTCCGTCCGAATATGTCAGGTCCCGTCCGTCACCATTCAGCCATACTATTGTGAGCCTGGCAGAACCTATACTGGGCTTGTTATTAAAAGAGGCCCTCTTAGTGCCTCTTTTAATAACAATAACTTCCACTTCTTCCCTGAACTACAGTACTCTGCACACAGAGGTGAGTAATACGCGAAGTAGGAGGCCTAGCTGAAAAGTTGTATACTGGTACATCCTTGCTCCAAAATTTCTGAATGCTCTCTAATAGTATGTACAGTATAAAAACAAATAAATAACAGTGTCATTAAGCAAGCTCATGTTATCTCCGAAATCGCTTCTCTAATCACATGTTGCCACAGAGTTATATTATCTAATTGGAACAGCAGCGCTTTTTTGTTACTAGCGGAGCTCTCGAAATCGAAAGTGGCTTCGCTAAAGAACAAACTGCTATATTCTGGGGGAAAGAAAGTTAGTATTGCTTTTCAACTCGACGTTGAAAGAGAAGGTAAAGGTGAAGAATAACATAAAACCGATGATGAAAAGTTCAGTTGGGTTTATTTATCACAGGCAGTGCAAAAGGAAACATTTCTTGACTTCAACTTTATTAAAACTCAAAAATTTTTTGATCTGATGTAATTCAGCCCAACTATATCATATTGAAAAATATTAAAATTTTCCTATTCAAGAATATTTTTCAAATCCACTTTTTACTTTTTCTGCTGTTATGTACAGTACACAACAAGGGAAATATTGGAATTGTGTCAAATTTTACTGTCCGAGTATTTTGCAAATCTCTCGTATATGTGTGTTGGCGTCTATTTCGTTTAATATTTCAAGATGGAGTAATAATGAAGAAACGAAATTTAGCATGGTAATAGCTTCTATATAAGAGGAATTGATGCTATTAAATTTTAGAGGTTAAAGGTCGAGAGGATGGGGAGATAGAGGGAGTTCGCTTGTCATATCTCGAGAGGAATCGGACTTGACTCGAGAGAATCAATATTGTAAATGCTAATGACGATTTTACTCGTTATTAGCAT